GCAATTATATTTTTCTATGTCTGTTTGATTTCATTTTATAAGTTCAAAAAATAAGTGAATTATCGTTTTTACCAGTATAAAATAGAATGTTTGTGGATCGAAACAGTCAATAAAATGGTTTACCTCTGTTTCACATTTACAATGTTGACATTATTTTCCTTTTAATGGCTGAACTCGACTCGACTAATGCATGCGTAACCAATCTCTAGCTAATGGGTTAAGTTGAAGGTCTCATGCATACGGATTTAATCAGGTCAAATTATTCACTTGCAAGTGAATAATTCATCGGCGATGTTTCTTAGTTTATTTTGAGAAAATTGAACCGAATTGGCTGCTGAACGCGAATTATTATTTCATTATTTTCTTTTTAATAATTGAACCAAACTAAATCATATCCTATTTTTTTTCATATCTCGTAGCTAATGCCCCTTTAATAAAAAATGTATTTTTTAGATAATAATCTATTTTATTAAAGGATATATTTCATTACAATACATTGTTTAGATAAAGTTGTTGACATTGATATAAAAGTTGCATATATTAGTTTGTGACAAATAAAAGAAAAAAAATTGGGAACTATTAATTATATATATGAAGCTTGATTACACTAAGTGTTTTATACAATCTAAAATTAATTTGCCTTCTTTAATTTTTGTAATTGGTCCAAAGGGTCCAAAAAAAAGAATGTTTCTGGTTCTTTAATATGCTGAATCTAAGCGTGTATTTAATTTTTTTATTTTGGGCACAGTATTCAAGTTGGTCCAAATTGGGATCCAAAATTGAGATTTGCTTGATTTCATCAGGAATTTAATTGTTGATGTTATTTTCTATGGTAAATCCAACAGTGTTTTAGATTTTTTTATTTTGTGTTTGGTTTTCAAAATCGGTCCAAATTGGGATCCAAAATAAGACTTTGTTTGATTTCTTCAAAAATTAAATCATTGTTGTTCTTTAATATGTGCAGTCTAACAGTGTCTTTAATTCTTGATTTTAGGCCCGCTTTTCAAACTGAAGGGTCAAAGTATCCAAAATGAAAATTAAGTTTGATTTTAACAAAAATTTAATTCTTGTGGATATTTGATATGCTGAATCCAAGCATATAATTAGATGATCAAGTTGATTGAAATTGGGGTCCAAAGTTAAACTTTGTGGAAATGTTTGATATGCTGAATTTAAGTGTGTATTCAGATTTTGGATTTTGGGTCCTGTTTGTCAAATTGGTTCACATTGAGGTCAAAAAGGTCCAAAATAAAACTATTTTGGATTTCTTCAAAAATGGAATTCTTGGAGTTCTTTGATATGCTGATTCCAACTATGTATTTAGAATTTGGATATTAGACCAAAATTGATAGATGTCCAATTTTGAATTATCTAAGAACTTATTATATGTTCATTCTGTGTCAGAAATAATGCTTTAATTAAATATTTAATCAGAATCTAAATTCAGAGATGTATTGCGAAATCAACAGAAATTTTAAGTTGAGTCATAGTTGAAAATAGATACAGCATCGTATATAATTTTAGAGAAGAAATTGTGTATTGATACAGTATGAAATTTACTGTTCATTATTAGATCTTTTGAAAAATAATAATGGTAAGTTTTATAGATTTTTTTAAAGACTTTGTATTAATGTGGAATAAAATTTTGGATATGTTTTTTTCTTCATTTTTGTATAATACTTTTCTTATTACTTTGTATAAATTGCTTATTTCTTGACCAACTTCAATGTGATTAAATGCAAAGTCTTGAATTCATGTGGTTCTTTGATATGCTGTATCTAGCCTGTATTTAAATTTAAGATTTTGGGATCCGTATTTTAATTGGTACAAGGGTACAAAATTAAGATTTGTTTGATATCATCAAATATTTAATTATTGGTGTTCTTTGATATGCCAAATCTAAGCATGTACTCAGATTTTTATTTTGGGTCCTTCTTTCAAATTGGTCAATAGAAAGGCCCAAAGGGTCAAAATGATACTTTATTTGATTTTCAAAAAGATTGAATTATTTGGGTTCATATATTTAGATTTTTGATTTCGGGCCAAGTTTTCAGTTGGTCTAAATCGGGATCCAAAATTTAACTTCGTTTGATTTCAACAAAAAATGAATATATGTGGTTCTTTGATATGCTGAATCTAACAATGCATTTAGATTTTGGATTTTGAACCCATTCATCAAATTGGCCCACATCAATGGCCAAAGAGCCCAAAATTAAACTTTGTTTGAATTAAACAAAAAATGAGTTCTTGGGATTCTTTGATATGCTGATTCTAGCCGTGTATTCAGATTCTGGAAATTGGGCCATAGAAGGTAAAGGTCCAATTTCAATTTTCTTTCAGTTTTTCAACCACATTTATTCTGTGTCAGAAACCTATGATATGTCAAATATTTAATCACAATCCAAATCCAGAGCTGTATCAATAAAATTGAGAATGAAAATGGGGAAGCTTGAATGTAGTGTCAATACTTGCCCCAACTGTTCAGGGTTCGACCTCTGCGGTCGCATCAAGCTGCGCCCAGCGGAGTATTTTATTTCAGTTATATCAGTAATATTTAGTTTATAGAATAATTGCAAGAAAAACGTATTTGCCTGACCTTGACTTCATTTCGTCGTGATTAATGATGGGTTGTGTGTTAATGTTCGTTTCAGATACTATAGGTAAAAGACATAGGTTGTATAAAATGATTGTTATATGTACATGTTCATGTACGTCAGACATTAGGTTACTATGATCTTGACATTATTTTCAGGTTTCCTTGTTCAACGTAAGGTCTTCTTGATAAGATAGTTTTGTTGATACTTTAAGTTATAGGTCAATTAAAATGTGTCAGACCACCAATGCAAAACCATGTAATATTCAAACATATTTTTCATTTATTACAGCTTTCTAAATATTATAATTTCATAGAAACCAGGTATATCCTGAATTGTACTTGATCACCTTTCTATATGCCAATATTCAAACAATGTTTAAAGTCTTGTAGTTAAACACCACTGATCGGAAGTCAACTGCTACTAAAAATTTCTTCTGGTTTTCTTGAAATCTAAAGTAAGAATACTATGAAGCATACTTTTCCTTAATTTTAAATGCAAAATCATGGACAAGTAAATTTTGGCTCGAGAGTAGAAACATATATTTCTCTTTCACCAAAAAGTTTATTTCGGCTAATTCGTCTGTTAGCTTCAGTAAACAATGACACCGAAAACCCTTTCAGTTGTCAGGGAAGGGCTGTTTTGTATATGTTCTTAATTGGAGAGGGTGAATTGGTGGTCTTATGCCTAAACTTTATGTAGAGACTAATCTCGATTGGTTTTTTATGAATCAGTTACACATGGTTACCTCTCGGATTATCCGGCGTAAATGACGTCATTGAACAATCAGTTCTTACAGAGACGTAACAAACAAAAGCATTGTGACAAAGTTAATTTACGAGAGGATGCAGGAATTTAAAATTCGTCTATAAAATTTTAGTAGCGTTTAAATGTCCGTCAGACAGTGTTACTTTGTTCTCATTTTCATTGTTCTTTAATCAAAGTTTAGTTTCGTGATTTTGTTTGTTTCTAAGCTACTGTAGGTAATAGTTCTACTGTATCTGGTTTATAAAGTGATTGTTTGATTTACATATTCGTCTTTCATTTTCATCTTTTCTTGATATAATTGCTTTAAAGAAATATAACATCTTTCTGCGAGTCAAAAACTATACATTGTATGAATACCAATGGCAGAACCGAATGTTTTATATGAATATGCAAAGATCATTGTAACTTCTTAGTAATCTAATTAGGCTTTTATACATTTTATTATTGACGTTTGCAGATATTTCGTGTTATAAATGCTGTATATACATGTTATTACATTGATGCTGTCTATGAAAAGAAACTCTTCGTTTAATACAAATGTCATAAAAACAAACATAATTAAGAAACGAAAAAAAAACCAGTCGATTATAATAAAAAAAAACGGCAGCAAGCAAACACATCATATAACTGTTACAGGACGAGCGTATACGTAACAATATCAAATTGGTGGGCTTTCACCTCAGTCATTCTTCATTAATGGGGTATCTAAGTATATTATGTTGCAAGTATATGTTGTCGTATATAAAAGAAAGATGACACCAGTTAACCATGACAGTGTTTTTCTTTTCAGTAACAAGTAATACTATATCATTATCGGTTATCTTTTTCATATAATTGTAAATTAACGGAAACGTCATTAATATGATGTTGAGATATATATTTTGTTTTAAATTCTTTAACATTCTTGAAATTTCATCTGTTTTTAAATTGCAAGACGATGCATTGAATGGTACGATTTTCATTATAAAGATGAAGTTTATAATTTTATTCCTTCGACAGGATATTCATCAAGGACTTTTATTTCAATATTACACACATTTGTATTCAAAAATTTGTTTCGTCAAAATATTGCGTTCTTTTTGCTTTGCACAAACATTTTGATAATTCGGTGTAAATCACAAAATGTTCATAATAATACGCCTAAAACAAATGTTATGGCAATTGGTCATATGTAGATTGTTTGAATACCTCATATGTACGAAGTGCATTCATAGCTTTATTAAACAATGGTCTTCATCTAAAAAAGTGGAGCAAATTGTCTGAAGAATGAATCGAATTAAATTTACCTTCTGTCACCAATTGTTTACAGACTATAATAATACCACGGTTCTCAACATGCAAAACGAGTACAATTTTGTGTTTTAACGAAATATTGTGTACTCCTAATCCATTGTTGTGCCATTGAGGACAAGATGCTTTCTCCAGTTAAGTATTATACTATTATTCTTAAAGCAGAAATGTCTCGATGCATAATTTGAGAATTTAGCTACACTAACAAAGACAGCTTATCATTGGTAAGCTAGACTGCTCATGATAATTGGTTTTGATTCTTCTGAATAGTTATTTCCATTGCATTTGAAGATGAAACTGCACAACTAACAGTTTCAGTATACATGTTAAGATATTCTTCTTTTTCAGAAAATTCATCCAAAAAATTAGGATTTATATTACTCGGTACTTTTATGCCAACAACACTGCTGATGATATTTATTTTATTTTTGATAATCTCGAAACTAAAGAAAACATCACATGAAGATGGTAAGCAAAATACAGTTCTGATATTATCTAGAAATGTTTCCAGAAAATAGTGATTAATTATGACAATGTAAACTTGGTGTCTTCATGCATAATAGTTTTTGCTGTTTGATTTTTAAAAGTTAATATTGCGAATGATTTGATACTTAAGAAATCCTTCAATTTTTAGTTGTAATCAAGTTACATATAACTCCCTTTTTGACCATCCTGCGTGACGTTGAAATAATATTTTCATATAATTGACCTTCTTTCGTGTAAAACAAATATCGATCTAATGCTACTTTTTCTTACGTAATTTGCACAACTAACTAGTCTTATCTTTCATCGAAGTTTCCCTTCCAAAATAAATATCTGGATGAAGTATATAAACAGAAAAACACCAAACTGGGTTCAATATATTATTAGTTGTTTTTTTTAATTTTTTTTGAAAGAAAATTGAAAATAAAACCCAGAAAAACATTGTTTCTTTTTTTTTATCATACTATTACAGACCACGAATTGGAGATTACAGATTGCCATCAACTGAGACTGTCCTGTTTTCTAACGAAGGAAAGAGGAAGCAACTGGAACAGCAGCATGAGGTCTAGCACAACCAGCAACCCTCCCGATAAATCAGATCAAACGGAAGCATGCCTTAATAGTGAGAAAAGTAGGTGTAATTACCTGAACTGTTAACTGTTACGTGTTTTTAGTTCACGTTATAGGGTTTCATTCCATGAGTGTCACCATTAGAGATGTGAGAATTGATTTTTCGTATCAGGGAAATACGACGATGCTTTGATGCAAAATTCACCTGATTAAACATAATTGAATATCCAAGCAAGTTTGAAATATACATGCATATATATTTGCAGATATGTTAGGTATAAGTCAATGAGTAAGCAACACAAAATTTAAAATGACAAAAATACATCTGATAATACTTATGGTACAAATTTTACTGCAGCAGATGCGCTTTTCGACAAAAAGGTCTCTTAATTGATGCTCGAATCTAAAAATATATAAAAAGTCCAAAACCTATTGAAAGCATGGTAAAGACGAAGAGTGACACAAGAAAAAAATCAGAACTATGCATGAAGGAGATACAGTAAATTGAAATAAAAACATTATCTTTCTTTTCGTACTAGTACCTAAATGAGAATATACTGCTGTTTAGTTCCTAAAACAATAAACAGATTTCTATATAATCTGTCACACCGAGTCTAAAGCATTTGTGAACGTTAATCTAATATATGTAACATAAACATATGCTAGTATATGACGTAAAGCCTGGTATGAAAACTTCTTTGTTTCTAAAAATAAGTATAGCAATATAATGTGTTTTAAACATTCTATGATTTTGAGGCAAGTATTTTCTGAATTTGTTGCTGTTGTTTTTGTATAGATGGAGAAAGCGAAAGTAATACGAAATCAGAAATCACTGAAAATTTTCTAATAGGGACTTCAGAGTATCAAGAGGAATCAGGAGATAACGCTGAATGGAGTTTCAGTAAACAGTTAGAAGGAACTTGACATTTTGTGTTAATTGTCCTTTGTTGCCAAATGCTTTTCTGTAATAATGTACAACTTCTAAATGATAAAAAAGAAATCAGGGGAAGGAGATCTCAAAACAGAAACAAACAAAAAGATACGAATCCAAGAAAAACACGAGGACCAATAAAAATTCCATAACGGTCAACCACCGAGTAATGATGGCATCCGTAAAACTTTTGTACACATGACATTAATTTTGCCATCAGGAGATATTGGCTCAGTTTCTACAAATTGGACGATGAAAACCAGAAAAAAAAACTAAAAAAGCTTTTGCGGAATAAATTGGTTTTTTTCCCATGGTCATGATTTGTTTGAGGTGATTTGTTATATTTGTCCGTCCTATTTGTTATGGTTGATATAATAAAACGCACAAAGGACAAATAACATTGCCAAAGATATTGCATAGTACTTAATTTTGTCTAGGTTTAGTTATTTTCATGTAAGTGTTTTGTTCCCTTTGTTTTGAATAATTGATAAATATATATTGTACGATTCTGGCATTGTGCCTTTTTGTTTTTCAATGTATGTGTTTTTACACAGGTAACAGTCTATTGTTGTCTCTTTGACATATTTCCCTTTTCCATTCTATATTCTATAATCTATCATTTGTCACGAAAAACGTGTTTATATATATATATATATATATATTATCAAAATAATTATTTCTGTGACTGCATTTTATGATCCTCTACGATAGGTAATTTAGCTAATCTGCAATCAATTCCATCTTCATGCCTAATATATCATGTACTGTGTTACAACTCTAGATTCTACTGACGGGGAAAGGTAACACTAGGCCACCGAAAGCTGAATTTTTAATTTAGTCTAGGTGGCCGAGTGGTCTAGAGCGCTGGACACTGTGCAGGCGGTGTTGTCTCGATATCTCAATAGCATGAGTCCGAATCCCGGCGAGAGAAGAACACATATTTACTTTCGCAAATTTGCAGATTTAACATAGTTGTGCTGATATTTAGAGTAATCATATGTATCAAATTTTCACAGTTGGTTAAGTTTCAGAACATTTACTTTCTGATTGTTTATTAATTTGGTGATGTTTAATGGTTTGATAAGAGTCGATTTCCAATTACCAATCCCACTATTTTGCGATGATTAATCATTTGATAAACCTATCAACGTATTGTTTTAGAAGTAACTCGGCTAATGTTGCATGTGGACCATGTTCTGCTAATCCTTCCAGAACAGCTGCGATTACCACTGTTTTTGGTGGGGTTCGTGTTGCTCAGTCTTTAGTTATCTATGTGGTTTTTTGTGTACTGTTGTTTGTTTTTTCAGCGTAATTGCCGTGGCATTGTGAGTTTGATTATTCCTTAGTTTTTTTTACACCTCTCGCTTTCTAAAGAATATGTAATATTCAAGTTATTTTTTATAAAGTGTCATAATCGTTGCGTTGCAACTCATGATTTTTCTATTTTTTATTTTGTATTGATATTTACATATGTTAATTTGTTTTGTAAACATGTATTTGTATACATCTTGTTGTTTGCAAATACTGTTTCTAGAGTTCTTGTAACAGAATCATTGGTATTTAGTGATTGTTAATTTATATCATCTTTCATATGGCATGTGTAGAAAGACTAATATTTATTCATGTATAACCTCACAGAATATAATGTACTAAATAACAGTATAATGTACGGACTGAGACTGCGTCATGGTATAAGTGGAATAGATCATTCAGTTATAGGGCAAATTCATGAATTACGAATATTTGTTTTTCCTTTTACCCTTTAAATTTGGTTTTTAATTAAGGATATTATACAATTGATGAACTAAGGCTGTATCCAAAAATGCTTTAAGATTTAGGGTTAGTCTTCTAGATATCATGGGATTTCATTGGATTTAGAAAAAAACGCCCACTATTTATTGGCATATATAAAAAAAAAAAAAAAAATATACGGAGGAACACTATTTATTTATATTTTTGCTAATAATTGTGATACACTTCATAAGTTTCTGTCATTCATTACGGTAGAACATTAATGTTGAATTAAAAGCATTCATATGTGACTCTCGTTTCTTGCATATTTAACACACGTTTTATATCATCTATTGATACACTTTATAATTATTCAAATTACATTCACATATTGTGTCAAATATTATTATATTGATTATATTTGCTTTAATTATCTTTATCTACTGTAAATATTAGAAATTGATGATTATGTCTGAAGTTTCTAAAACAAAAAAGAAAGTAAAGTAAATGGCGCTTCATGACTGACATTCAAATGTTGCCATTCACTTAAATCCATACTGTAAAAAACTTACCAAACTGTGTAATATAGATGTTCAATTGACTGTAGGTTATGGTCCTTATGGCTTGATGGTTATATGTAAATACAATGAAACATATTATTTACATTGCTTAAAGACGAAGATGTACCTTTTGAGAAATTATAGTACTAAAATCATTACAATGACAGCTCTACATTATTTACATTGTTTAAACTAAAGACGAAGATGTACATTTGAAAAATTATAGTGCTAAAATCATTACAATGACAGCTCTACATTATTTACATTGTTTAAACTAAAGACGAAGATGAAGATGTACATTTGGAAATTTAAAGCTCTTAAATCCGTAGAGAGACAGATTTATCATTACGAAACCTATTTCATATTTACCAGCAGTGTCTGTATACTGGCATTCTTTTTATCAATTGTTGTAGTTTATAAATTACATTAAAAAGGGAAGAAGGATTCCAAGGGAAACCACAATTAAAAGAAAACACCCAATGCCATTGTCTAAAAAAAGACGATGACAAAGATGTAATTATAGGATCAAACATTCGCTGGCAAAGTTAGCGTTTGGTAAATCTGTACATTAGACCTTTACGAGTTAGACACTCAAAAATATATATTCGTGTATTTAACGTCTAAAGTTTTGGTCTGATTCATAAGGGACGGAAACTGTGTCTGAAATTTGTTTACCCTTCAATATTTTGTATCATCGATTTTGACTTCACATCTTATCAAAATTATTGACATAGCTTATGTATTTGATGAATGAAGCTGACATTTTATTGTAATTTTTAAGTACTTTGCAAATTCCAATTCTTCATACTGAGTTTCGTTTTAGATCTTCATATTCATGTAATATTTTTTTATTTTTACTTTGTTATTTTGATAGACATGATAGATATCATTATTTTAATTATTATTATACTTTTTATAATAATCATGATTTTATTATATTTTTTCTATCTTTATAATAAAATACCAAAATGAATTTAGCTTTCCAGTTTATTTGAAGTATTTTCTCACAACTGAGATTATCACATGCCTGTAATTAGAGATACAAATAAACGGAGTTGTTGGTTATACGTCAATCAAACAGAAACCTGTAAGCAAAAGTAAAATAACAAAAATACCGAACGGGAAGTCCCAACCATGTAACAAAAAGACAAAGTTGCCTTCATTTTATATATATTAGATATTATTTATCAGATTCTTATATTTTTGAAAAAAAAAAAAAACCAATTCATTAAAAGATAAAATATTAATGCAATAATAAACAATGATAAACACACTATAAATATGACATATTACTTTTTCGAACCTACCAATTTGTTCAAGATCAGGATTATATCCATTTTGGTCATATTGCTCGTGACAGCAGGTGTTATGGTATATTTACTTGAAACTATAGTTCTAATTCCCACAAGCATATTCAACCTTAAACGAATATGGCTATTTTTAAGGTCCTTTTGTTTGTTTAAGTACCTTACTTCCTTGTCTTTAATTTTGTTATTGAGCGTTCCTTTTTACTGTTAATTAAGAAAAGTGCCTCGGACAGACAAAAGTTATAAAGGGCTATTTTTATTTTCAATTTCTAGCACAGGACACATACCCCTGCTGCTAGAAAGTAAATCCCGAAGGTATAATCAGCTCATTCGTCAGATCTGATATAATCTATAACAAACCTTTTTAAAATTATATAACAAGTTTTCGTCCCCTATTGTTAATTTTCCTTTTTTGGATAGTGATGTTCCTTTGGCACCATCTTACGGTGTTTATATATCACAACCCATTCGCTATGCCCGTGTCTGTTGTGTGACGTTTTGGATTTTAATGAACGTAATCTATGTTTAACTGGTAAATTATTAAGTCAGGGATTTCGTTACCACAAATTACTTAAAACCTTTACTGAATTCTTCCATAGATATAAATATTTGGTTTTGAAGTTTAGTTGTACCTATAGAAAACATATTTCAAACGGGATAGCGCATCCTCATTTTTACGGAGATGTTGTCTACCGAGCCCGGAAATTTAGAGACGACCCGGGTAAATTTAACGATCCTTTAAATAAACTTATTCTAAAAGGTTACCAATTCAACACTGTAATCAGATCTTTGAATATTGTTTTTATTGGTATCAATATTGATTTTGTTATCAGTAAATTAAAATCAAACTAAATATTTTAATTGTTATATACATATAAAATTAAGAATGGAAATGGGGAATGTGTCAAAGAGACAACAACCCGACCATAAAGCAGACAACAGCCGAAGGCCACCAATGGGTCTTCAATGCAGCGACAAACTCCCGCACCCGGAGGCGTCCTTCAGCTGGCCCCTAAACAAATATGTATACTAGTTCAGTGATAATGGACGTCATACTAAATTCCAAATTATACAAGACTAACAAAGGCCAGTGGCTCCTGATTTGGGACAGGCGCAAAAATGCGGCGGGGTTAAAAATGTTTTTTGAGATCTCAATCCTCCCCCTTTACCTCTAGCCAATGTAGAAAAAAACAAACGCACAACAGTACGCACAGTAAAACTAATTTTAAGAGAAGTCCGAGTTCGATGTCAGAATAGGAAACAAAAGAAAATAAACAAAATGACAATAATACATAAATAACAACAGACTACTAGCAGTTACTGACATGCCAGCTCCAGACCTCAATTAAACTGATTGAAAGATTATGTCTTCATCACAAGAATATCAGGCACAATCCCTCCTGTTAGGGGTTTAGTATTATACCATCATAAAATATATGAGAGGAACATAACCCGTGTCATGCCAACAACTGGTTTTAGGATAAATATGTTTAATTCCGATGCAAAGACCCTATAAGTGAATCAATATTAAAGCCAAAATATGCAATCTTTAATGACCTGACAACAGTATCGTAACTATATCCCTTCTTAATAAGTCTGTTTAAAGGTTTTGTTAGCTTTTGAGGTGAATACTGACATTTTTGTGCTTTGTAAAGAATATTACCATAAAAGATTGGATGTGAAATACCCGAACGTATAAGATGTCTGCATGTTGAGTTATATTTACGAATGATGTCCATATACCGATGATAAAATTTAGTAAATGTTTTGACTAGTTTATGATATCGAAAACCCTGGTGTAATAATTTTTCAGTAATACATAAATTTCTCTCGCTAAAATATGCACATTCATGGCACTACAATCTGTCGATACCTGTATCTTGGCATCGCGAAAGGTCATGTTTTTCTCTGAATGTTTATGACGTCTTTAGAGTACATACAATCCAAGACTCTCTCATCTTGCAATAGTATTCAAACATTTGACTTTTCTGCACTTTACAAATTAAAAGTATTCCCCATTCCAAACTAAAAGACAAATTGAAAGAGTTGGTATTACTTTGTTTCATTAAAAAGAATGGCAAACGTAGATACAAGTATCTTGTCTTGAGGAGGGATAAATCCTACCTTGTAAAAAATCACTCTGATTCAAACAAAAAATTCTCTGAAACTGACATTATCAAGATGCTTGATTTCTTGATTGACAACATATTTGTTACGTTTGGAGGACGTGTTTTTCAACAGACTGTCGGAATTCCAATTGGAACCAATTGTGCCCCTCTTCTTGCCGATTTTTTTCTGTATTATGATGAGGCTGACTTCATACAGGAACTTCATAGGAAGAAAGATAAGAAGTTAGCAATATCCTTTAACTCTACATTCCGCTATATAGATGATGTTCTCTCACTAAATAATACAAAATTTGGTGACTATGTTGAACGAATCTATCCCATCGAACTAGAGATAAAGGATACTACAGATGCAGTTAAGTCTGCCTCATATCTTGACTTACATCTAGAAATTGACAATGCGGGTCGGTTGAAAACAAAACTTTACGACAAAAGAGATGATTTCAGCTTCCCAATTGTGAACTTTCTATTTCTATGTAGCAACATTCCAGCAGCGCCTGCATACGGAGTATATATCTCCTAATTGATACGATATTCCCGGGCTTGTATTTCCTATCATGATTTTCTTGATAGAGGATTGCTGCTCACAAGGAAGCTATTAAACCAAGAGTTCCAAATGGTGAAGTTGAAATCATCCCTTCGTAAATTTTACGGACGCAATCACGAGTTGGTTGACATTATGGAATAACCGTTTCACAGATGATATCGGATATATTCCTTATGTCGTAACTACAATACCCTTCCCTTTTCACGAATGTGACCTACCGAATTAGACTATTTACCGGATTTGTAATTACATAAACAACATGACGGGTGCCACATGTGGAGCAGGATCTGCTTACCCTTCCGGAGCACCTGAGATCACCCCCAGCTTTTGGTGGGGTTCGTGTTGCTTAGTCTTTAGTTTTCTATGTTGTGTCATCTGTACTATAATTGTAGGTTTGTCTTTTTATTTTTGACCATGGCGTTGTCAGTTTGTTTTCGATCTGTCAGTTTGACTGTCCCTCTGGTATCTTTTGTTAAATGTATTTCTATTTGTATCCATCTGATGAGTTAAGCATTTTTCAACTAATTTTTATAGTTTGTTCTTATGTTGTACTGTTACACCACTGTCCCAGGTTAGGGGGAGCGTTAGCGCCTTCGAACTAGTTTAAACCCGCCACATTCTATATTTGCCTGTCCCAACTCAGGAGCCTATAATTTAGTGGTTGTCTTTTTTTGCTGTTTCTCATATTTGTTTTTTGTTTATTGTTTTGCATAGTTTGTTCTTATGTTGTACATGTTGTATTGTTACACCACTACCCCAGGTTAGGAGGAGGGTTTGGCACCAACAAAACTAGTTTAACCCCGCCACATTCTGTGTGTGCCTGTCCCAAGCCAGGAGCCTGTAATTCAGTGGTTGTCGTTTGTTGCTGTGTTACATATTTGTTTTTCGTTCATTATTTTGTACATAAATTAAGCCGTTAGTTTTCTCGTTTGAATTGTTTTACATTTGTCATTTCGGGGCTTTTTATAGCTGAGTTTGTGGTATGGGCTTTATTCATTGTTGAAGGCCGTACGATGACCTATAGTTGTTTATTTCTGTGTCATTTGGTCTCTTGTGGAGAGTTGTCTCATTGGCAATCATACCACATCTTCTTTATTATAAGCTAGTAAATATAGAACATCTTCTTATATTATAGTTCCGGAAACCAATACATACAATAGTAAATCACCAAAATCGTGTTTTAAACTTCGCTCGCAAACAGGGGAAACAATCAAAAAGGAAAATCAAAACTTCAAGTAATTGAAAAAAAAAAAGAAAACACTAATGCAAAAAAAATTTTCCGAATATCCCCACACAGAATACATACATTTGTGCAAAATTAATCATTTCGTGGTTCTATTGTGGTACCAGACATATTAGACATGATAATAAAAAAAAATGTGTAAAGTAGCATCAGTTTATGCCGCAATCAAGAAAAAACAGGATTTTTGAAAGGCAACATCTAAGTGGGCGTTTGTGATAAAGATTTGTCATAACTATAAGTCATGTAATGATAATGTCAATAGAATTTCTAATAAATAATTTCATTTTACTATTAGAAAACTCAAGCCCTGGAACATTCAATTTACTGGGCGATATAATTTTCAGTAGTTGGTTGACGATTATTGTTTTAAAAAATGGAAAATTCAAATAGGACTCGTGAAAAAATTTCCTGTTTAGATTGTAGCTCTCATTAGTTGTCTTCATTATTTCCAATCAATCATTATCTTCATTTGACTCAATTTAAGATTTGAAGGTGTGATTCAAGTTTTTCGATTAAAATTATCGATAATTCGTTCCGGAGAAAAGGGAAGTTCACAATATTACTATCATTAGTTATGACAATGTTACTATCATTAGTTATGACAATGTTACTATCATTAGTTATGACAATGTTATTATTATTAATAA